TCACAGTGTTCTGCTGTTTCTCAGGGACACTGGAAACTGTTACTTAGTGAAAACTGCTCTGCAATTGCTTTCCTGTAATACTGTCTTTCAAATCTGAGATGTAAAACCTACCTATAAAATTACTGGTTAAATGAAAAGAGCACACAAATATATTTGGATTTCTGTAACATCCAATACAGTGTTTCAAAATCTTAATTTTATTAAAAAACTAAGTCAGAGTGGTTAAAGACTTAATCATCTAAGCTAGGAACTGTCTGGAAGTCTAAGAAAAAGAGAATGATGCTGTACACGGTTGTTGATAAAAGTCTAATGTAACAGAACTCAGTAGAGCAGCCTACTCCACTGAAGTTTCTTTGTTGCCTAGATACACCTAGCAAGGTTTCATAATTCAGACCCTTAAAGAGCAAGCTAGGCTGAAAACATGATTTCCAAGGAAATATGGGGTTCTTGAAAGGTCTTACTGCAAGTTACAGGAGCAGTAAGCATACAAGCACAGCATACCTCATCATATAATACCTCCACAAAGAAATTACACATAACAGGGAGTAAAATCTCCATGAAGATATACGAAAAACCGCAGTTCTAAGACAGACTACAAAAATAAATGATGAAAAAGTTTTTAAAACTGGTGGGGAGATTGAATATTGATAGTGAAAAACTGAAACAACAGCCTGGGTAATTAGAGCTTGTAGATTTCACAGTATTTATATCATCAAATGACTGATGTCCCATACGAGGTGAAGACTTCATTTTTCCTCATGAGCCAGCATGAAGTGACAGACACTGTAAAAAGAGTTTCTTGTAGCTCAGTAACCACACGAAGAAGAGCTGAATACTGTTAAAAAAGCATGGAAGTGCTCCCTTCCTCATAAAGAATGCTACTAGAAATCTTGCTGGTTTGGAAAGGCACTATTTAAGCCAAGGAGGATGAAAATAACTACGTAATAATTCCTCACAGTTGAAGTACAAAAATTGTTATGTGAAATATCTGTATAGATTTGAGTTAATCTGAGAGAATACATCTATAACATCACAAGCCCCACTGTATAATAAGCACCCTGCTTCATTAACTAAAATGAAGGGGAAACAAACCAATAGACAAAGCATATAACAATTACAAACAGTACAGAATAGGAAGACTGTAAATGCTCCTCAGGATAGTGAAATTAAAATAGTCTGTGGAAGTGAAATGGAATTTGGAATTTTGGAATTTGGAAAGCGAAATAGTTGAAGAAAAATTCACCCTAGATTCAAAGGAGAAACTTAGGAAGCAGTAATAGTGAAAGACCCCTTAGGGAACTGCAGAATAGAGGCAGTGCTTGTATAGCTAGATTTGGAATATTTTATCCATTCTGAGCAGGTTTTTTTCTGAAAAATGCTGACAAACATGAGTTCCAGAGAACAGTGTTTGTTTTGTTGTTGTTTTTTTCCCATGGACTTCTTTGATGAAAGAATAAATAGGTGTGCATATATTTTCAGATCAAATGAAGATAGGCATGTCTTTAAATATATTTTTTAAAAGTCTATAAATATTGTGGAATATAACCAGCAAGAACTAAAAGGCATATTCATCATTTTCCAGAGCAAAGGAAAAGAAGTAAAACTATAAGAAAATATCTGCAGGGGTTTTCATGATAGGAAAGAGCCCTTCTTTACTTCTTCTCTAAAAGTACTGTCCTAAATTTGCAGTGTATTTGAACTATTTGTGAATATACACAGCAACAGCTCAAAGATTTCTAGCATCAGTCTAGCCTAGGTTGACCACCTATTGCTGTTACATATGTAAATAAAACTAGTTTTATAAACATTTATGGAGGTTAACAAGACTTGTGAGATACAGGAGAGATGTAGGAGAAGAAAACAGCCAGAAGACTGTTAAGAGATAGGCAAATTAATATTGCAAAAGAATAAATATAAAAATAGAGAAGACAGGAAACTAAACAGTGTGTCTGAATGCATTTTTCCCTTGTATTGATTGACAGCAATACAGAAAACATGTTTATGTATCAGAAAGAAACCTGGTGATCAAAAATTTATCACATTTAAGTATTTGTTAAAAAAATACTGTATATTTTCATTAACATCATGTAAAAATTTTGTAAGTATTGTAGTTCCAAGTGGAAAATGTCTGCATCTGGAAATAAAGTTCCCCACATAACTTGGAGAATGTGTAATACCTTGATGTCTGTCCAGCAACATTCATATATCAACAAAAAGTTTATATGAACATTTCCAGTATGGACTGAAATAGTATAGTCATAAACAATATGCAACATTAAAATGGTTTAAAAAAAAAAAAAAAAAAAAAAAAAAGCTACATCTACAAAATTAAGCCTCTACTTTTGACCAAGAATTGTCACAGTAGTTGAGGGATTACAGCATTCATTAATTACATCAACAAGGGTTTCCTTCAAACTCAGGTATCCACTGACTGTTTTTATTTTAATCTATCCAAATCAATTCAATTCATTGCTTATAGTCATACAGACAGGGAGGCAAAGGATACTCCATCTGCTTAGCTCTACATCCACTACTGTAAACAGAAATCCTAACATCTAACTTGAATGCTTCTCCTCATCGACTCGCTAGACCTTTGTAATAAATTCAGGAACCAGAGATAGATAATCAATATCAGATAGCATGAATATCCTTCAGGTCATCTATTTTATTGCAAGAAAAAAAGTCATACTAAATCACTGACACTATGCAATAATCTTGTAGTATCCAGAATATGGTGTTCAAAATACAAAGTGAGTGGGAAAACAGTAATTTCGGTTTTTTGAACTTCACAAATTTCTGAAACAATATGCTGGGCACTTAATTTAAATTTAATCAATAAAAATAATTTAAGTAATTATTTGGGCTGCAAATACTCTCAGAAATGAACTTTATCTTGTACGGTACAATAGCAATTATGTATCAATGATCAGAAAAGAAAGTAGAAAGCTGTGCTCTCTAACTGAAACTATAGAAAGATTAAGGAGAAGCAGGATATAATCATTTCAATTGAAATACAGCCTGATGGACTGCTATCACTAATCTCAGGAAAAATGTTCAAATGTCTTTCCCAATCAGATTCAATTATTAGTATGTTTAAAATTATGTTTTAAGGATGGTATCTCACTAGCACTGTGTCATGATCAAATCTTTTAAGTAACAGTTCAGTAATGACATATGAGCATGCTGTACAAACACCATACATGAAAGATAATAAACACCACTCATTACGCAATACATGAGTTTTATTAACTCATTCCTACAGTTAGTTTTTCTGGAAGTTTTTTATCGCACATTTGATGTATACATTGAATTTTTCCATTCCAAGTTATCTATCTCCTTGACCCAAAACAGATATTTTAGTTACAACACGTTTGAAAACTGATTTTCTTCCCTTTAAGCACTTATATCAGTGTGCTGTTATTATATAGTGTAAGATTAAAACAACTAAGATCATTCTTAAAATGGGTCTCTGTAACATCTACTCTAGTCAAACAAATCATCACCACCTGTATTAACTAATTAGTTTGAGTAACAGCAATGAATCAATGTCAGGAGAACACCAGATATTTTAATGTCAAGTTCTCATTTGTTAATTCCTTGGCCCCAGCACTGCTTGAGAATCTGTAATTCATTTTAAGTAGTTTGAAATGCTTCCTCTGGCACTACTACTCAACTCTGCATAAAGTTAATAAATCTGAAAAATTGGAACAGAAATTTCACCTTTTTACACAGTGCTGGTATACAGTCTTGTAAACCATTATGCTACTTCGCAAGTAAGAGACCAGTGGAATCAATGCACTTTTCATTTTTGTGTTGCTTTAGCAATGTGAATCACCTGTAAGTTCACTTTCACAAGCTAGTATGCTATCAATTATCTTGTACCGTCTCCATTTTCTTTTACAGAGATCCTTAATTTTTAGTTAAAGTTTCTAGCATACAATCTAAAATCATCAGAAATACACAAGCATTTTGTTTATATATTTCTTTTAGTTACACTAATATTATACAGCAAATAAAAAGCATTTAAATATTGCTAGCGAAAACAAGTTAAACTGCACTCTCAGGTTTAACAGAACGCTTTTGTAGCTAAAGAGGCTTGTAGGCATGTTATGATGGACAAAAAACTACTCTTAAAACTGTATGCAATCATAAATTCACATGAGAACTTAAGTGAAAACTAAATATGCTAAATTATAGAAATAAAACACTTCAGGCATCGAGTTGTATTTCTGCCCTTCAGTGAACATAAGCATATCAGAAGAGGTATGTGATTTTATAAGCTCAAATTCACCTAAATTAGAACCACAAATACCAAGTAATTCAATAACAATTATCATTTCATGCCCATGAGGTTATTTGGTTAAGTTTTCTTCGTGTAGGTGTTTTGTTTTTTTTCCTTACCTGAGCTCCACAGAAGTGAAAAATAACTGAATTTCCTGTGCAACATTTACTGATGCAAGTTACCTCCATTTCTGCCCATTTAGCTTTTTTGACAATGTGGTTTCAAGTGAAGCAAAAGCAGCTTTACACAGTTTTTCTCCCCTGTAATCTATCTCCTATTTTCTAACCTAAGAAGTTGTCAACACAGAAGCCTTTAAGAGAGAATTAAAGGAAATCTTTCATTTCACTTTTCTTGCATGGGACACAAGAAATGTGATATGTATGTTTTTGCTTAGCAGTGCTGTACTGCAGTGCTAAGGAAAATTACACCAGTGCTATTACAATTCTATTATGTTTCTACTGGAACTGGAATTCCATTTTACTCTGTCATATCTTAGTCTGAAAACTCTTTTGGGTCAGAAACCAAGGTCATATTAATTCTCTTGTGTTGTGTTCACTATAGCATGTTCTTCTTCCAAATTGTGTACCACCTGACCTGTCTAAAGATACTGCCAAGTTAAGTTACAGAGGAAACTTCAGAAAGAATTAACATTCCCACCCCACAAGTCATACATTTTTAGATCAAAGGGCATGTTTTTCTTGTTCCAGGAGTAACTCACCTCTGGGGTGACATCTCGTGGTGCAAACCCTGTTCCTCCAGTTGTTAAAATCAAATTAAGTTCCTTTTCATCACACCAATCTATCAGCGTCTCCTGAAAGAGAAGATGAAAGCTGCCACATTTAGCAAGTAATACCTGCGATACATTTACCTCAGATAGCATCTAAAGAATTGTCTTGAAAATAAACAGAGACACACAAAATAAATCAAGGGAATTGTAAAATCAATCGTGGCATTTTCAACAAATACTAAAATGCTATTACAACCAACATATGGCAGAGTAATACAATCAGTCATAATATTGTTGGAAGTGGAAAGTAGAGTTCTGTTCTCCATCTCTTGTCCTAAAATGGAAAACAAGAACTCATAGTTGTTCATTTATATCAGTGTGTGTTTGGATTCTGAGATATAAACACAATTCTTCAACACACATAAGTAGAGTACGTGCATTTAATTTGGGTTAGATGCTTGATTTTTGTAACAATAACTTTAGTTTCCGTTTTGCTCTACTTTTGAACAGCCTGAACAAAGAAAGAACTACTTATTTGTAAGTCTGACTGTAAGAAGATGCAATAATACACCTGATACAGCAACCCATATCCTGCTTCTTGCAACTACCTTTTCTTTATTTCTTATAACATCTCAGTAGGACTGCACATGCTGATCCCAAAGCTGGAAAAAGAAAGCTTCAGAGATCTGTCATGTACATTTAATATTTTACAGTACCATAGAACTCATAGAACTAGAAAAATGTTAAGTTTGATTTGCATTCATTTTTTAAATGACATTTTAACCTACTTTTCATACTGCGACCAAAAAAAAAGTAACATAAGCAGAAAATGTATTTAGCCTCAATGTGATTATATCACTTATCCTTCGTATGCTACAGCAGGCAAGTGAAGCAGCTGAGCATCTGCTTGGTGCTCCAAATTAACTAATGTGTACCCACATATTACATAGCAGAGTAACCATTGGCAGAGATCAGACTGATTGCTTATACAGCTATCCTTATTCTCTTCAAGTTAAACAAAGGCAACTGCAGCAATTGAAATTGTTAGTTTAAACAATACAGATATGTACCAGAAAAGTTGTGTTGTTTTTTTTTTTAACAGATTATATCTTCTCTGAGCTTTTATCATCTAAAGACATATTTATCTTGACTCTCAACACCAGCAAACATCAGGGAATACTTGAGAGAATTTCAGCATAGAAATGTTGTTTAGCAAAGTGAGAGCTTGACTTCATGTAGATATATATAAATATAAATTACCATAATCAGGAATAAATTGTGAGCATAAAACAAAGAGAGACATAGTGAGGGTTTTATGAAACATTTATTTTTAGATAAAATAAAACCTGACAAAATCCAACAAGGTTTCAAGTGAAAATAATTCCTTCATCTGTTCTTATACAGCTCAATAGTACTCCAGTTAACAGGAAAAAAAAAATACACAGCAACATCGTGATAGCATATAGAAAGCTACCGCAAATAGAAAGCTACACCTTGACTTTTCACGTGAACTGAGCATATAATTTTTTTCATTATCTTAGATATAATTATTTACCAAGTTCTACTTTGAGTAAAAAAAAGCATAAGACTTTCATCTATGAAGCAATGTTAGTATTTCACTGTATTTTAGAATATGTACCTCTAAGATCTTTTAAAGACATGGAAAAATACCTGAGACTGATATTCAGTTTGTTTATTTCTCTCTAGCCCACAAAATTTTGTTCTACAAAATATTCTCATTTATATTTTGAATATTAAAAAAAAGGAAGCACTACTCTGATCAATCGAAGAAAAAACGCTACTTGTGTTCACTTCCCTGCTGCTAGCAGTCCAGCCATATATGCCATTTGCTTTTCAAAGACACCAATTTACTATGTTTTCAAATGAGAATTCCTCCAGATCACTGATCTGATACTTGGCTTGATTGGTGCTATACAAAGAAAATTCTTATATAGCAATTTGTGCATTAAGATGCCCTAGATCCAAAATCCAAGGCCATGAGATACAATCCTATTGCACCACATGTTAGCTAATGTTACGACCCATTTCAGTCAAGTAATAGCTACACGACTTTCAGACACGTATTCTTTAGTAAAGCATCTCAATGTCCAAAATGCAGAACTGTCATTAGACTGAGTTGCTGTACATAGGGCGAGTCACGGAATCTTGCCCTGTGCCTTCTGTGTTTAAAACATTTTAAAATATTCTAGGACTCAAGCATATTTCTCACAAAATCAACCAGCCTTGATCAAAATTAGATAAGAGACTGAAAATACATTATATGGTCTTTCAACAGTTACTCATGTTTTTCATTAAGTATTTGCTATATTTATAGTAACTGTTTCTTTTTCATTATATCTGATGGACCCCTCCACAATACTTAAGAACCCTGCTTACAGAATTCTCAACAGGATGGCTAGAAAGTGGATTTTTTTTTTTCAAAATCTATTAAGTGCCACTCTCTAATATCTGCAAATAAATGAACAGAATAAACAAATAGGGATTACAAAGGCCCTACATGAAAATTCTGTATTTCTCCAACACAGATCTTCTGAAACCCACTTGCTTTGTAAAACTATGCATCTTCTTTCTTCACAAATAAATCCTGCTTACTAGGATAATACACTAGGAAAGTATGTTTGAAAATGCAAGCAAAAAATATATATCTTTTAAATGAATGTTCCTAAACACGTAAGTTATTTACAGTATGTACTTAAAGCTGTGATTACTCTCCTTAGCAATCCACATTAAAAAATAAGAGTTGTACAAAATGACACAGTGAATATCATCTTAATTTTCTTTTACAATGATATGACATCATCCTAATGAAGAAATCAGCCTGAGTAAGAACATGAAAAAAATATATCAATACAGAGAAACTCTGCACCGTGGCAAATTTGGTAACAAAACTGAATGCAATTTTAACTGCTGAGTTTCAGCAACTCAGAAATCGACAGACTAGAATCTTATAAAAAATTCTGCTTGGTCCTGTGGCTGGGACTACTCCAGACTCCAACACAATACTGATTCTTCATGAATCAGAAATTCACAACAGAACACACAAATTCAAAGCAGAAGAATAAAGAAAAAGTTAAAAGAGCCTTAAAAATATTAAGTTACTCTTGGAATTAATTTCACTTTTTTTACCCTTTTTCTTGTGAAGATTGTATTTTTTATGCTCATGACTTTTCACTTATTTCTTGAAAGTTTCACTGAAACGTAGATGTATGAAGATACTCCTATGTGTGGAGCAATAACTTTGCAAATAATCAATCTTAAAATGGTTTAAGAATGTCAGAAAATGAAATACTAAAATACCATGAAAATACACTACACATTTTCTGGAACCTCCCCACCCTTTTTTTTCTTACCCCATCAATAAAGGCATAAAGTAACATAAATAGTAGGACTGTTTTTACACCATAATTGTTGTAGTCAGAAGACTTGGGTAACACCCAAGTATGTATTTCAATGCATATGTATTTCAACCTTTTCATCTTTTGATATTTTGCTGACCATTGTAGTCTTTTGAAAATATAGTTGCAGTTTTTAGCATCACAGTCAATGTTTTGTTTAGTACTGCTTTCTAAATAAGCTAACATCAGACAGAAAGTAGTAAAAGTACAACTATTCTACTGAAATGAAAAGCTAAAGGAAAAAATGCCATAAAAATGTACTCTATAAAAGGTTTACTTTTTCTAAAAAGGAAATATAATTGTAGCCATTTTTCATTATGAAATAAATTACAGCTATCAAAAACTTCAAGGTTCAACATACCAATGAAGCCTGTAATGTAACCATTTTTAAAAGCTACTGCTCAGTATAATTATTCCTATAATGAGAATGAAAAAAAGAAGGGACTGAAGTGCAATGTTGAACAGAGTTCACCAAAGCAGATGTGAAAGTGAACCAAAGAGATGTGCAAACACTGAAGTTTTTATCCATCAAACCAGCAGTACGGGGAGTGACAACACTTTTTTGAGGACTGAGACCAGGAAAAGAAATTGCAAACTATTTCAGTGGAGAATGATGAAGACATTGTAGGTCACACACAAGATTGACTCCAGCATGAGACATTGAAAGACTGCAATTCTGCTCTCAGAAAGGTGAGAAATTCTGCTCAGAAATTCTTAATTCAGACCAATTACAGTGAAATATCAGTCATTCTACAAACAAAACCTGTGATTTGTTGGTATGCTGTATCAGATTGAATTAAAATCTAGAAGAGGGTGTAGATCAGATGCAAACATCAGTTTACAAATGCAGTATGGAAAGAACTACTGGCTTCCTTCTGTAAGAAAATCTGCTTCCATTTACAGTTGGTACCACTGGAATTTCCCTAAAGTGGATATTGCTCTCTGGAAACAATGACTGATCACTGGAAAGGATCTGACAACTCCAGTGTAACAGTTTTTCTCAGGTGTTGTGATGAAAGAGTGGGACTTAGAGGTGTCAGAAAAGCTAGGTATTTTGCAAGCACATCTAGTATTTGAAGTAACTTTCATGTCTACTCCGACTTTGGCAGATACATACATTCATGTGGGCATATATACACACATGCTCATCTTTACATAATAAAAATTTACTAGCAAAAACAATAAAGTTAAATGCATTTAATTTTTGTTAGGTGTAAAGACCTCCCTTTAAAAATGTTTATTAACTAAAATAAATATTACTGAGTTTATAAACACTCAAGTATCTTTGTTAAGACCACTTAAAAATTAAATTAATAAAATGCCTCCTTGCAAACATTACTCTTCCCTCTCTCATTATTCCTAAAACAATACAAGTTAATATAGCAATTGGAATAAAAAGAAAAGGGTAAAACCATATAAGAGTGAAATAAATTCAAAACTGCTCACATGAACAGGAGAGAGAAAAAAATCAAAACTTTTCTCTCTCTTAGCAGTGCTAAGATCTGTTATTATAAGAAACAATTGGTTGGATTTTGAGCCATAAACCTCTCATTCATCGTGCAGAACAAGATGGCTTTTTCCATACTTTCTTTCCTTTTGCATACATTTATATTTATTTTAGATTGTTTAAGACTGTTTACTTCTGATTTTCTTCCCATAATGTGAAAA